GCGGGGGTCGGGGCACGAGGGGCGGCTGGGGTGGGAGTGGGGGGTGGGGCATTAACCTCGCTGTCGCCCCGTTCGCATTCACAGGTTGTGGACACCTGGGTGGGCTGCAGTCGTCCTGGGAGTTTGCTGATATATTTATGTGCACACGCCCTGATCACCCACCCCCAAATTAGAATCTGCTGAAGTTCGGGAACATGCCATTGACCCTGTTGCAGGACTGGTGTAGGGGGGAGCATTTGGACACCCAGAGGTCCATGTTGATCCTGGGAATTCCTGAGGACTGTAGTGAGGATGAATTTGAAGAGACTCTCCAGGAGGCTCTCAGGCATCTGGGCAGATATAGGGTTATTGGCAGAATGTTTAGGAGGGAGGAGAATGCCCAAGCCTTTCTACTGGAGCTTGCACAAGATTTTGACTATGCTTTGGTCCCCAGGGAAATACTAGGAAAGGGGGGACCCTGGGAAGTGATTGTAAAACCCAGAAATACTGATGGAGAATTTCTCAATAGACTGAACCGCTTCTTAGAGGAGGAGAGGCGGTCCGTGTCAGACATGAACAGAGTCCTTGGGTCCTGCACTAATTGTTCAGCTCCCAGATTGGCTATATCACCAGATTTCTGGACCTGGGCCCAGACCCTGGGGGCAGCAGTGCAACCTCTGCTAGAACAAATGCTATACCGAGAACTAAGAGTGTTTTCTGGGAACACCATATCTATCCCAGGGGCATTGGCCTTTGATGCCTGGCTTGAGCACACCACTGAGATGCTACAGATGTGGCAGGTGCCCGAGGGGGAAAAGAGGAGGAGGCTGATGGAATGCTTGCGGGGCCCTGCTCTCCAGGTGGTCAGTGTGCTGCGTGCCAACAATGCTGCCATCACAGTGGAGGAGTGCCTAGAAGCCCTGCAGCAGGTGTTTGGACCTGTGGAGAGCAGAAAAATTGCCCAGGTGAAATTTTGTAAGGCCTATCAAGAGCCAGGAGAGAAAGTCTCTAGCTTTGTGGTACGGTTGGAACCCCTGCTTCAAAAAGCTGTAGAGAAAAATGCAGTATCCCGGAGGAATGTGAATCAGACACGCCTGAAACGCATCTTAGGTGGGGCCACCCTTCCTGACAAACTTCGAGAGAAGCTTAAGCTGATGAAACAGCGCAGGAAGCCGCCTGGTTTCCTGGCTCTGGTAAAGCTCCTACGTGAGGAGGAGGAGTGGGAGGCCACCATAGGTCCCGAGAGGGAGATTCTGGAAGGGTTGGAAATAGGCCAAAGGCCATCTGCCAGAGTCGGTGGGGTCAGGGCAGCGCTTGTTCCTGCCCTTGGCAATACTCTTGAGGCAAGGCCTTCCCAGGGTTCCCGACGCTGGAGGGGCAGAGGCCAACACAGGAGAGGAGGTGTGATGAGGGCTGGCTCTAGAGGATCAAGAAAACGGAAACACCACACATTCTGTTATGGCTGTGGGGAAGATGGCCACATCAGGGCGCAGTGTTTCAACCCCCCCAATCTGCCCTTGGTGAAGCAGAAGAGACAGGCTGCAATTGATTTGGGAAACGGGAGCCGGGCTTGGGACAAGAGCCATCCCAAGTCCAAGGCCAAGTAGGCTCTGGAAAACAGGGCAACAATTCTTATCACAGGCCTAGGAAACAAACAACAGATTTGAAGAATGGGCAGAGGCAGCTCAGACAAAGAGCAGAGGGTTTCAGTAGGGAAAAAGGACAGAGCAATCAGGTCCAGACTGAACCCTGTCACCCTCTACTAGTGGGAAGGGACTCAAAGAACCAAAATCAGACTTCATGCAACTCAGTGAGGGTCCATCACAGGATCATCAAGGGGTGCCAGAGTACCAAGCAGGGAGCTGCCACACCCTGCACATGGGAATCTCAAGCCTCACACAGAGACCCCAGCGATACAGAGTATGAAGACAGTGAGATGGTGGGCTCTGATATGCGTGTCTGCAATGTCATCTGGCCACCTCCAAGTTCCTACACTACAGACTCAGAGCTAACGATGCCAACCAGACACCAGGATACATGGAGCGTGGAGGAGCCTGCCCTGGGGCCATCTGTGTCAGAAGGAGCCAATTCCTCGGAGGAAGAGCTCCAAGATAGAGAAGTAATGCTCCTCAGGGGAGGTCGCAGGGTCCAACCTGTCTTCAGGATCATCTACACTGCTCTAGGGGAGCCCCAGGAAGGCAGTACCCTTGAGCCCTTCCGCCCATAAAGGCCGGGTCTCCAGACCCCAAAGCCCTGGGAGCCCAGCACCATCCCAGAGGCAGTTTCCTTTCCTGCAGCCTGACAGGGCTGTACGGGCAAGGACACCAAAGACTAAGAAGACCCCCAGGTGGGGGCATTGGCACCCACTAGGTCAGTGCCCCCAGAGCTGGCTTAGGCGTGATTGGATATAGAAGGCAGCTTTTGCTCCAAACACGAGGAGGTAGGAAAGGAGTGGGAGGAGTATGAGGGAGGACTTGGAGGGGGGCAGTTTGTTCTGTTTTGTCTGTGCAGGACCACTGGAGAAGTGGAGAGAGCAAGCAGGGAGAAGTGGGGCCTGGCTTGGCAACTCACAATTCAAGAGCTGCCAACCCAGGGTCAGCCCCAAGCCCTGCCAGCCTAGGGTGGCCAGCCTTGAAGCACTACTCAGCGGCCATCCATAGCCTGGATGAGGGCACCTGAGTACACCTGCCACCTGCACCGGACTGGGAGACGTCGGGGAAGAGAGTCCATCTCAAGGGTGCCAGCTGCCTGGCTCTCCCAACAGGCAAAACCCCAACCCGATTCACCGTCCCTGGGGCAGGGTGCTCCTGTCCCTGTCCCTGGAGGCCCACCTTGTCTGTAAGCCCCATAGTGACCCACCTCAAGCAAACGCCCACCCCCACGCTAGCCACCGTTCCTGTGCAAAGCCGTGAGGTGTGTGTCAACCCCGGGCAGAGGACTGTGCCCTCGCGGCCGGCCACCTCCAGGCCCGGGCACGTGCCGTGAGCTTCCGGGCGAGCCAAGGCTCTGCTCGCTCCTGTCCAGTGTCGTGAGCTCAACCTCTGCTTTCTCAGTGTAGATCTAGGCCAGCTGCCTGCCTGCCGCTTGTTCTCGTGGAGATGTGTGTGTGTGTGTGTGTGTGTGTGTGTGTGTGTGTGTGTCTGTGTTCTTATCTGAGCAGCTCCTCCCAGGAGGCCCTGAGCCCAGTCCCCAGGAGTCGGAGGCGGGAGCCGGCGCGAAGGATGGACGGCTAGGGCGTGGTGGACGCTCACCCCCTCGGTGATCAAGACCGCGGCCTCACCTCGGGCAGGAAGCACTGGACCTTAGATGGAGGGGCAGGGCCAGGGACTGTGCTTGGACGTTCCACCCCCGTTGTTCCTTGTGACTCAGTTTCCTTGGCTTGGGGGGAGGGTGTTCCCTGTTATGCTTTCCACTGTCCTGTGACCGTTCTGTGCCAGCCATAGGGCAAGGGCCACCCCACAGCAAGTCAGCCCCTCAGGGAGCTCCCGGAATGGAAGTGAGTGTTCAATTGCCAGAGGCCATTGTCCTGGCAAGAGGCAGTTCTGGGGTCCTCAGAAAGGGAGACTGTGGTGGGAGGACCCCAGCGTGGAGACAGAGGCGGCTCTTCGTCTGCAGCCCCAGGAGGGGGAGGCCCGGGACCTGTGGCCTCGAGTGGTCGTGAAGAGTCCCTTTAGGTGTTGTCATCCCTTCTCTTCAATGGTTTCTGTAAATGTTTCTCTTCAATAAATCTCATGGATGTTCCAGCCAAGTTTTTTGCTTCCTTTAGGGATGGGACAGGGTGGAATGGAGGGGACAACTTTAGCAGGGTTACCATTGTGGTGTGTGCAGGGTAAATTTCAGATAGGCTATGGGGTACACTAACTGCCAAAGTGATTACAACCCAGGGTTACTAGTTTATGGACCCTGATGAAACATAGCTGAACATGACATAGGTGGATCTAGATAGTGACTGGTTAGATACCTAGGGCACTCTGTGAGCTTTTTCAATAGAAGTGGATCCGATATTAAAGGGTGGATGGGGGCAATAGGCAGGACCCATGTTCCCATAGCCCCATGATGGCTTGAAGTGCTCTAAACACTCAACACATTGGATCTAGACATCAAAACAAGACCAGTGTGTGTATGTATGAGATGGAATTAAAATTTCAGCATGCAGGGGAATTGTGAGTATCAATATAAGTGTGTGTTAGCATATGCATGAACGGGGGGGGGGCTGGGGTTGTGGCTCAGTGGTAGAGCAGTAGCCTAATGTGTGAGACACTGGGTTTGATCCTCAGCACCACATAAAAAAAATAAACAAAATAAAGGTATTTTGTCCATCTACAACTAAAAAAAATTTAAAAAAAGAATATGCATGAACGTATGTAAGCATTTTTATTTGTGGTGGTGTGACAGTATTATTAATTTGTGAATATCTGTGTCAGTATATCAGTGAATGTATGTTGTTATGGTTTAGATATGAGATGTACACCCAAAAAGCTCATGTGTGAGACAATACTAGAAATTTAGAGGTGAAATGATAGAGTTATGAGATGCTTAACTTAATCAGTGCATTAATTCACTACTAGGAATTAGCTCAGTGGTTCAAGTGGGGTGTGGCTGGAGGAGGTGTGTCACTGGGGGTGTCCTTTGGGGGTTATATTGTTCCTGGTGAGCAGAGCTCTCTCTGGTTCCTGATGGTCATGTTCTGAGTTGCTTTCCTCCTCCACCCTTCCACCATGATGTTCTTTCTCATCTTGGGCCCAGAGCAATGGAGTCAGTCATCTATGTACCGAAAATCTGAAACTGTAAGCACCAAATAAACTTACCCTCCTCTAAAACTTTTCTTGTCAGGCCTTTTGGTTACAGTGGTGAAAAAGCTGACTAAAACATGTGGATATGTGATTTAGCATGTGAAATGGTGTGTGAATGTGAGTATGTTAGTGTGTGTTTGAGTATGAGTATATATGTTTTCAAGTATGAGTGAATGTTGGTGTGTGAATGTGTGTTGGTGTGTGAGTGTATGTTTAGGAATGTACATAAATGTATAAGTGTCTTAGTAAATGTGTGTTAGTGCGATGATGTGTGAGAATGCCACAGTGTGTGCTTATGTGTGAATATGACTGAGTGTACCTGACTGTGTCCTGAGTGTATACATGAAGGAATGTGCAAATGTATAAAGAGTTCATGATTGTGAGTGAATGTGTGGTAATGGATGTCTGTGTATATGTGTGTGTGCGCGCGTGCACACGTATATAAGAGAACATGTGATATTTAGCTGAATTTATATGAGTGCATGTTTTGGTTAGTTGATGGGCTTTTTATTTGTTTAAGGAATCAAACAAGAGAGTTAGGGAGAAGGCAGAGTAAAGTACAAGTTGCTTCTCACAAAACAGCCATAAGACTTTTATTGACCCCAAACTGGTAAGCACTATAGCTGGTCCTACAATGCCCTCATTTACTTTCAACATTTGGCACATGCCCATTTTCAAGGTTCCTATCATTGCATGTTACTGTTACTGTTGTGTGATTAAAATGCACTCCTTGCATGAGTCCCTTTGTGGACATTATTTTTCCCTTCTCTTGGGTAAATAAGTAGAAATGGGATGGCAGAGCCACAGGGTAGGAGTATATTTAACTTTATAAGAAACTTCACACAGATTTTCAAAGCTATTGTGATCACTTATACTCACAATGCACAGTATCCTGTTTCTCGGGGTCCTCCAAAAAAATCTTGTGTTTTCATCTTTGAACTTTCAGGCATTGTGTTGGAGAACTCATTGTTGTATTTTGTTGCATTAACTAGCATTTCTGTGATGGCTAATGATATTGAGCATTTTGTATGTTTGTTTATTAACTGTCTTTCTCCCTTAGTGCAGGACCTGTTCAAGTCTCTTGCTCAGTTTTCAACTGGGATCCTCTTCTCTTTCATTATTGAATTGTGTGACTTGTTACAATACTCAGGATACAAGTTCTATGTCATATATATGTGCTGGTATTTTTTCTACCAGTTATATATTCCCCGTGTATATTGTTAATGGTATGCATTCACAAGCAAATTGGTTTTATTAAGATGAAGTAGTCTGCTGTAACATTTTTTTCTTTTATAATTAACACTTTTAGGGTCCTATCTAAGAAATATTTCCTTGGTCCACATTTGTAAAGATTTTATCTTATGTTTTATTTTTGTGGTTTTTGCTTTTTCATCATAGGGTGAATCTAAATTAGTTTCTGTATCATAAGTGAGATGTGGGGTCAAGATGCATTTGAAAAGACTTTTCTTTTGATACTGATTTTTTGGGGTGTTGGTAGAAAATATTTGACTTTGTATCTGTGGGTCTACTACAGAGTTCCATATTTTCTCTTTGGTATTTTTCACTTGTAGATATTCTATTTGGTTCTTAATTATACTTGTTATTTTTTTTGATGGAGTTCTTCCTCATTGGTTTTTCATTATATTCATTTGCATTCTTTTAATTCTGGAACAACATTTATTTCCATTAATTATCTTTAATTCCTCATCTGCTAATCCTATAGTTCTTGCCATTTCAGGGCCTTCGGAAACATTTTATCCTTGTTTATGGATCATGTTACTCCTTCTAATGTCTAGCAATTCTTCCCAGAGGTGGACATTTTGACTGTCAGATTGTTGAATGTCTTGGTTTTGTTGTTTCACTTAAGTTTGTGTTGAGTTCTGTTCCAGCAGGCAGTTGTTACTGAGTTGTATGACTTGTTAAAATACAGACCATCCTGAGTTTTTTGAGACTTGTTGTTGTTGTTATTATTATTATTATTATTACATATTAATTGTATAAATTAATGGGTTTGACTGACATTTCTATGCATACATATATTGTGCTTTGATCATATGCAACCTTCCTCTTACCCCCTCTTGAGTTCCTCCCCCTAACTCCTCCTCATTCCTTTCCCTTTCCTCAGTATATCCTCTTCTAATTTCAGGTCACTCTAATGTTTTGTTAATGTGGATCTTGCAGGGCTGAGTCTTCCTCCTAAGGTATGGCCTTTCTCTGTTCTGTACTGAATGTCCAGAGATTTCAATGTGGTTTCTCCTCTATGGCCAATGCAAAATTGAATGTCTCTTAACACTGTGTGATTTCTGGTAGTTCTGTTCGTAGCTCTCTGGAAGGTGTTTTCTGTCCAACCTGTGGCGTCTCAATCTGAGCATGCAGAGCTCAGTATGCTACCAAAGGTTTAGTGGGAAGTTTGTGAAGTTTTCAGGAACTCTTTGTATGCCTGATCTCCTTCTCCCTTACACAATAACTGCAAATTATAGATGCCTCAGTAGCTCCCAACTCCACAGTTCAGTGATAATGCCACATGCTTTTTGAATTTTCCCCTTCCTTTGCCATCAACTGGAAAGTGTCTCCAAGCCGATACCAATGAGGTGTGGCTGTTGGTTGGCCACACCTCTTTTGACTTCCTTATCACAGAAATCGCAGTCTTAACAAACTTGCCAAAGCCAAGGTGCTCATCCTGAGGTAAATGGGGTTGGATGGTCAGTGGATATTGAGGGACTGAAGAGGGAAGGGGACCAGGGCAATTAATGGGGAAGAAAGGAGAAGTTCATGGGAAGGTGGGATAGGGCCATGAAGGTCCTAGAGTACCCATACCAAGGTCTTTGGATATCTGCCCCAGATGTGCAGCAAGCCACCTGGATATTCAGAGAAGAACCATTGTCCTAGAATTATGTGAAGGAGAAGAATGACCTGCTCATGTCTGTGAACTAGAAAGATCAGTGAGAAACTAGTGTTAGGAAAAGATGGAGGGGGCACATTTGTCACACCAAAGGTAGCTACAGAGGTGGTGAGTGAATACAGAGACCACTTTTGTTGAAGTATTCCCATGTGATGAAGTTGGAGGCACATTAGAGCTAAGATTCAAGAAGATTTCTGATGGACAGGGTCTCTTTGCAAAACTGAACCAAATTTATCTGTGGGAAACTATGATTTTGCCTATCAGGCAGCCCCTAGAGGCACTTTCTATTCCTTCTTATACTACTGACCAAAGCTTCAGACTGGTAACACTCAGTTCTAAGAGGGAGGACCTGGAGTCTACCTGGAGGCCATGTATTTCTGGCTGCCTTCTCTTCTCTGAGATGATCCTAAAAAGGCTTAGTTCTGCAAGGGTGTATAGGAGGATTATGCTTTCAAGCAGACCCCATTAAGTGCAGGTAAGCCAAAACAGATGGTCCCAAGAAAGGTCTCATGGCTCAACCAGACATCTTCTTTCTTTCAACTATTACTGGTGGTTACATGTGTCCCAATGGACATCTCATTACCTCCTTTTCAACAAAGAGAATCCTGTATAGCATTCAAAGTGTCCTGAAACCTGGCTAGGGCCTATACACTTCTCATGTAAAATTAACAGGCTGCCTTCTTTTGTAGCTCCTGGAATGTTGAAGACAAGACATAAAACAGACACATCAATAAGGACTGAAAGAAGGGTCTGTCCTTCAGAGCATGATAGAGCAACACAGAACAGCAGATATACACAGTTAAGTCCAGCCAAATCCTTTGGTATCCTTGGCAACCAATATCCCAACAATGACGCAGAAGATGTGACAGCATTGCAAAGGCACAACAGAGCCATTGCTGGATGACAGGGCAAATATATGCCATAAAAGCGGATATAAATATTAAGGGATTCAAAATATCAGAGGTGTATTCACCTAAGAGAGCTAATGTAACTAACTAAAATTGTGAAAATCAAGAAAAAAGAAGTCTACAGTGTCAAATTGGTGAGAAAACA